TAGAGGATTGTGTGGCCTCGATGGGGGTATTTGCTCTGTCTGCATTTTACTGACTGATCTAGGAGACTAATGTCTGCACAAACATCAGGCAAAATAGAAACACTGTTGATCACTGTTATAATGAAACTGTTCACAAAATAACTTGAGGTTACAAATAACTGACAAATCTTTGTTGTAAATATGAATTTTTGTTACTCGAAAGTAACTCTAATCCTGTAAGGAACAACATTGTTTCAAATGTAAGATTATTCTTAACACAGGACATGAATTTGGCAGGAAAATCCTATTATAGAAACACACACACACACATTAAATTACAATCCCCCACAATGGTGGAGCTCAAGATGTATGGTGATGTTATTTAAAGAACACAAATAAATAAGGTTAAAGATGCAAACTGAAGCACTTACACAATGTGTTGATGAGAAAAGAAAAAATTATTTGTCACTGTTCAGTCCATAATGAAGTCAGTCTAACAGGTCAGTCCAAATAAACAAACAGAACCTCTGGCTGTACATCTGGCCTGCAGCCTCTCCCTTTTTGAGAATATACTGAGGAGTGTTCACCCACTGCTGCCCAACTATTGGACTTATCAAAGTTAAATCAAAATAACATCTTCAAAAAGGTAAAAATTAATGGATACCGCAATGTATATCTCAGGGGGGGAAAAAAACAATAAGATTCTACCTGCAGTGATTGTCTCCAACACTAACCCTGAGAAAAACATGAGCTGAGGCAAAAAAAAGAAGAGAGAAATGGAAAAGCCATCAATCTGCAAATAAGTCAGGGTATGAAATCAACCCCAAACCTAAAGTAACCCTAATGCTAAGACATATGAGCACAATGATACCAAATAAAACCTTAGTAACTCAAACCATAATAGTACAAAATAAAGTTCAAGGCACGTCAACAGTCTGTAGTACAAAATATAAAAACTTGAAATGACAAAGCTCAAGCTTGCAACCGTATACTACATTTCTATTAACTATCACATTGCAAGAAAACAATAAAAGGCACCTGTGTGTTGTTATGAGTAATGAACCTATTAACAGAAACAGCAAGCAAATACA